TGACTGTGAAGTGTCATTAACAAATGATTGTTAATGAACGCATTGCCTAAATTCAGCTTCTGGGAGGGCTGCCATCAGTCTTTCTGGGAAGTTTGCCTTTCCCCCAAACTTGGCTTGTCTTGAAATGCCGCGCACGGGTAGCAGAACAGGTTTAGATTCCTGTTACCGAACAGGACCAAAGGTGAATACATTAGTAGAAATCCTGAGAGCTTTGAAGTTTGCAATTACAGGCCAGGGAAAAGGCTAATTGTAAAGAAGGGATCTAATTTGTTTTTCTTCCATAAGTGAATGTGATTTTACAGTTGAAAGGCCCAGATGCATCTGTGTTATCTCAAGCTCTTCTCCCATGCGATTCTCCTTGTTGTTACTCGTACTGGTGTCTTTGATACTGAACATCTCTGATGTGGCAGAAAAACAAAGGTGCTTCGGGGCTCTGGCCACCGGGGATTCAGTTGCTTTGACCAGAGGGCTTGATCTTGCTGTGTAATTGCTTCTTCAGGTTATTTCTATGGATATCCGTTCAGTCCCTCTTTATATCTCATCCGGGTGTAACCTCACAGGTGAAGAACAACAGCAGTGCTATGTGACCTGAGGAGTGCTCATGTCTTACGTTAATGTGCACTACGAATGTATACAGAATAAATGGAATATGATGACTATCTGGTGGTCCTGTCTTTTGTGTGTGGTGCAAAGAGACAGCTGTCACGTTTCAAAGTGAACTTTACTTTTTATTTAAAAATGAGAGCCAGGCCAACAATTGCCAGTTGTCCTCAGGTAATTCAAGCTGGACTTCTTGCAACCTTTGCGTTCCAGGTCTCCCTCCCCTGAAGGAATGATGTCTGTGTCCTTATGTATTCTACCTGGAGCAGTGGTTGCTGTCTTCCACCTGGCTAGTCTCACTGCGAGAGGCTTAAAAAGTAAATGAAGAGAAACATGTATGCAGAGACAGACACCTTTCCCTCTCCGTTGGCTGGTGACCCGTGGGGATATCTTTGCAGGACAATTCCACGTGCTGGTGTTTGAGCTGGCAGCTGAACTCACAGAAATGTTTGGATGAGGTTCTCTGGCCCGTGTGACACAGGAGCTGAGGCTCTGAAGCCACGGACTCTTTCATGGTGACTCTCCTTGGGGCAGAGCCATCGCTGACAGTTGGTCACGGGGGTGTAGACCATCTGGGTCTTCCATTGAGCTGAGCATCAGGAGGAAACTGTGAAGTTGCCTTGGAAATTGATGTGCTGTGAATGTAGGTTGAGCATAGCAAGAATATTCATGGTCTCTGGAGTACCTACCCTTTAAGACGTGCTGTTTCCACCATGGGTAGTTTAAGCTAATAGTTTGGAGCGGTGGAATTTGGGGGCTGGTGGGAATGAGGTGCTTTTGCCAATGTTGAACAAGATGTGGCTTCACTCTCCCTGGCTGTGCTGATCTGCTCTAGGCACAGGGCCTTTCCATGGGTTCTCTGCCATCGCTCTCTGCAAAGAGTTGATTTGTTTGTTTTTCCAAACTCTACAGCAAATGAGAGCTAATCGTGCGGTAACATGCACGGTTTAATTCCTTGGCTTATAAAATTGCCCCTGAAAACTCTTCTCCAGTGAGAATCAACTTAAGAACAGCTAACAGGGCCATCTGTGCCCGAAGTGAGCGTGCCTTCATGGGCAGTGTCTTTCCAACCCAAACCCCTGTGTTTCGTTTCTTCAGGGTCCTTCCATGATTTTCTGAAATGCTGGAGGTAAAAACTGGAGGAGAAACAGAGGAGATAACATGGGTTTATCATCAGTTGTGTTGTTATTTCCATCCCATCCCAGGAAAACACAGTGAAAACATTTTTCATTTCTCTTTCTAGGAAGACTTTGATAGCCCTGTCAAAAAGAGGTTGAAAATAGCTTGAAAATAGCATGGCATTTGCCACTGGTGTTTGACTTGGAGTTTTCAGGATAGTCCTAAGCATTGAGAGAAAATCTCTGGTGATGGGTGCGTTTCTAAACTTCAGGTAGGTGAGTGGACGCTGATGCAGGGAGTTGGGGACCATTTTGGGGTGTATAAGGAGGTGATGTAGAGCTCCAGCATCAGCCTGGGATCTGGGACTGAGCAGGGTGCCTGGAGGTCTCTTCAGAAACTGTCCGCAAGAGAAGATCATCGTGAAGTGACTGATCCTTGCCCTGGTTTGGGAACTTAAATGTTAGACCTAGAACCGAGCTGTTTATTTCAGGAGCCGTTCTCACAGTTGCGTAGGAAAGGAGGAATATTTATTTTAATGTGGATGGAAGCTGTTCATCTGTGTACTATAATCTCTGTTTTGGAAACAAAACACTAAAACCAGCTTGCGCAGCACTGAGTAAAGGATACGTGTGCTTGTGCGCAGTTCATAAACACAGCTGCTTCGGATGTACCCATGCCATTGCAGCTCCCACCGACAGCTTTTCTCGGTTGGAGAACCCAAGCAGAGAGCAATTGTGCTCCAGGCAAAGCATATATAGCTATTTTAAATTAATTATACAGAGCAAGACTGTTTAAATTATGAAGGGGGAGAGCATTAACTCGGATGGGATTCAGCACCCTCAGGAAGGGTTTCAGCTGACATGGTGCTTGCGACAGCAACAGGCTTTAATGACCAGGGGAAGCTCCTGGCAGTCCCATATTCATGTTTATTAAGTTCTGTGCTACCGTTTGTTGAGGTAAAGAGCAAAAGCTTGTGTCTGGGGCAGAGGCGGAGGAACCGGGGTGGTAAATTATCCTGGAGTTGGGACGAGTCAGTTCTCTGTTTTTGCCATGGGTAGAGCAGAGCCTAGAGCAGACTAGGAAATTCAGGGTGATGGAAATGTTTTTGAAAAGGTTTCTGTCCCCTGATGGCTCCGGGAGTGGTGTCTGCAGGCAGGAGAGGTCTTTGGGTCATGGGGGAGGCCGGCTCCCACTTCAGAGCCCATTTCTAATCCTGCAAAACGCTCTGTTGAGAGCTACCGGTGTTTGGGAGGTGATGCCCACCTCTGCAGCAGCTGTTGGTTTAATAGGATTTGTTGGCTCATGTTGAAAGTGCTTAAGCCCTCCGGATGGCCAGGACAGCTGCTGCTCACAGCTCATCTCGTTTGCCGGTTTTGCCCCGCTGCAGTGTCCCGGGAGAGGTGGTGGAGTTGGCCATGGGATGCAAAGGGGATCTGCACTCATCTGGGAGAGACGGTGTTCCCTGGGCTGGAGCTGTTTGTGTGTGGGCCAGGCCATTGCACCAACACAGAAAAGAAACAAAGCAAAGGGGGAGAAATTCCTCCAGGAGAAGTCCTGCCTCGGAGCAGCGTGGGTACGTGCTGTTGGCCGAGTCCTGCTCCGTGTAGTGACCACAGGACCTCTGACGTTAGAAACTGTAAACCCTTGATTCCCAGTAGACTAAAATGCCTCGGCAAACAAGCGCTGTCTTACTTTGGGTCAAGAAGTGCCAAAAGTAGAATGTGTTTGTGTGTGCTGTAGAGGGCACCTTATTCCTTTGTCTTTTGGCAAGGCTGAGTCCCTGTGGGGACCTGCAGATAACACTCGGTATATTGACGTTTTGATAACTGCTCTTTGCTTTCAGCCAGAATTTGCTTTTTATCCAATCTTAATAAGTTGATCTTTCTATCAGTCCTGCTAGCAAACAAGATAATTGCTTTATTATAGTCTCAATATCCAGCAAAGGACACATACTCCCTGGTGCTCCCGGGGGAATAAAATCTTTGCTGAGCGTTGACACAGGATGAGTGCAGCGATAGCGACACCGGGCTATCGGCGGATGATGGAGAGCGTGATTTCCCCGCTGTGAAGAGCCAGGCTGCTTGGAGCCAGCATGCAAGCAGGGCCAGAGGAGGTCTAGAAAATATTTAGGTTATAACTGAAAATATTTTGGTCCATTTGCTAGAAAATGTTTAGGTTGTAACCAACAACATTTTGGTTCGTTTGCTAGAAAATATTTAGGTTATAACTGAAAACGTTTTGGTCTGTTTGGGTGTTTGTTGGCAGTTTGGGAGGTCTGTGTTTGTGGTTCTCTTTTTTTTCCATGGAAAAAAAGGCAAACAAGAAATTTCCCGACTTTCTGGGCTCTAGTGCGAGGACCCAGTGGGTGAAGCTGCAGCTCGGCCAGCCCCAAGGCCTTCCTCCACGGGTGGGTTAAACCTCTCCATGCAGGGAGGCACAGCACCTGCCTTTTAATGCAGGATGGAAAGGGAATCAGTTGTTCTGCAAAATTAAAAAAAAAAAAAAAAGTATGAGAGCAGAAGCAGGAGTGAGGTGTACGACATATGGAAACCAGCTGTACCTGAAGAAGAGGATGGTGAAGGACTGGGAGGCTGATGAAGAGGTGGAGAAGGACAGAGCAGATGAAGAAGTGGAGAAGGATGGACCAGAAGGCAGAACAGTGCTGGAAACCACCTACGAGAGCGCAGGAGAAGAAACCTCGTGGGCTCAGTGAGCGCCTGGGGCAGGGGGAGCGGAGCAGCCAACTCCAGCTCTTTGCACCGTGCCCTGGAAAAGCTTCCATGCCAGCAGCCGTCCTTCCTCCACACCGGAAGGTCCCTGCGGCGGGTGGCTGGGCTGGCTGGATGGAAGAACGGTAGACAAAAGTCTGATACGTTTCCATCCTGCACCAAGAGTGCCTTTGTTTTGGGAAAAGGTTTGAACAGGTTTTGACGCACACAGATAACACCCCACCACAGTGACGTTTGGGTCACTCCTCTCTTTGCTGTGATAAGAGCTGGCCTCTTATCGGATGATAACACTTTGATCTTGTTATGGAAGACATGTCTTGCTCTATTCTCACTTGAGCGCCTCGCAAAGGACACAAACTCCTCAAAATCCTCGTGGCCCAAAATACAAAGAAACCCTTGAAGCTGGGGGTGCAAGTGGTAATGGAAAATGGAGGTCAGCAGATAAGTGGGGGTCACTGCTTCCCGGTATAAAAATGGGGAGCCTGAGCAGCTCAGGTCATCTGCTGCCGTCTCCGGGAAGGTGCGTGCAGACCGGTGGACAGCTCCTGCACCATGAAGTGGCTCGTCCTGGCCCTGGTGTGTCTCCAGCTCTCAGAGGGCCTGGTGAGGTGGGTGTCCTGCTGCAGCCGCTGCAGCAAGCAGGTAGATAACGGAGACGGGCTGCGCTGCGTCCCCAAGGATGCTGACCCAGTCTAACCGGGTGGGACTCCAGCCTCCTGCATCTCCACAGACCATCGTGGTCCTAGTCCAGGCTGCATCCCTCGCTAGGAGGGCAGCTCCTGGGGATGTACAAGGCAGCCGAGCTGAGGGCTCCCATCGTGGCAGGGTTCAAAGGAGACCAGAGACCTGGTCATCTGAAAATGCCCAAATCGTCTCCTGATTTCCTGCTGTGTTTTTGGTTTGTTTTTTTTTTTTTCCCCTCTGTACAGAATCAAACTGAAGAAAGCCAAGTCTATACGGGAGAATATGAGGGAGGCTGGAGTGCTGGAGGACTACCTGAAGAAAATTAAACATGATCCAGCTAAGAAATACCACTTCAGTGAGGACTATGTTGTGCAGGAGCCGATAACCAACTACCTGGATGTGAGTACCTCAGGTTCCCCTCTCGCTGCCTATCCGTATGCCACACTCCCCTTTCCTGCTGCCTTTCCAGCTGCCGGAGTGATCTGTTGACCCCCTGAGCCTCCAGGAGTGAGAGATTGCTTTTTTTCCACTCTTTTTTAAGCTTCTATTTTAGACTGTAGCAAAGTTTTCCCCCAGCAACGAAAAGCAATGGTTTTCTATATGTAACAAAAGGCATAACAAAATAAATGTTTAATATTACATCTTTTGGGAGAAAAAGCAGGGTGAGAGTTCAGTCTGTTCCTGCCTACTTTGTTATTCACAAGAGGTGAGCCCGGCGTTCCCCGGCACCCTGCAAAGTGCTGGGATGCCGGCGCAGGGCTGGGAGGCGAAAGCCTGGTCTGTCCCCGACCCCGTGGCCAACGGAGATACCCCGTCTGTCATCTGCAGTCCTTCTACTTTGGGGAGATCAGCATCGGGACCCCCCCGCAAAACTTCTTGGTGGTCTTCGACACCGGTTCCTCCAACCTGTGGGTGCCCTCCACCTACTGCCGCATGCCAGCCTGCTGTGAGTAGCGTGGCCGCATTGCACAGAGCTCCCCCAGCAGCACAGCGTAGTCTCATGGCACGGGGCAAATCGCGATGCCAGACCAAAAATGATCCTGGCACACTGCTCGTGGGTAGCTGCTCCCTGGTACCAGCTGGTGCCTTCCTTGGGAAATCCGGAGCCCTCTGCACTTATGTGCCTGGCTAATGAAGATGGCCAAATCACTATGGCTATCGTGGGTGTCCCCAGAGCGCAGAAATCTCAGTGGTTGTGCCTGACCTTTCGTGGCTGGGCAGAGCGGAGAGCAAAGCTGTGAATCGCGGAGCTGATGTCTCGCTCCCCGGCAGAGCTCATCCGATGTAACTCGCTGCCAGCGGGAGAGCAATGGGGTTTTTACTGCTGATGGCTTTGCTCATGCTGGGTAGCTGATGTGGTTGTGATCGTAACAGCTGCTCCCTTGGGAGGGATGCAGCCAAAACTGGGATGCAAACCCTGCCTTAGAGATAACTGCGAGGCAGAGGAACAGCCCATTCCGCTCTTTGTGACTTGCTCTCTGCCAGGGAAGCCACTTTCCCAGGCATTATCCCAGCAGAGCAACTGGTGGTGAAATCCCACCGGGGCCAGGCGAGCGCATGCCCAGGAGCTTTTGCCCTCTTCTCTCTCACACAGTCGATCACTCGATGTTCAATCCCAGCCAGTCTTCCACCTTCACCTACAACGGCCAGTCCTACACCATCTCCTACGGCAGCGGGTCGCTCACGGTGGTGCTGGGCTACGACACGCTGAAGGTAAGTGCACCCCGTGCATCCTTGTCTTCCTGGGTGCTGTGTCCCCCACACCAGCTGGGTGCCCCGATGGAAGGAGCCTGGGGGACAGCCTAAGGGCAGATCTCATCTCTCGGGTGGCCAAGACTAGAGCAAACCAGGGCCTGAGGTGGGCAGAACCAATATAAAGTGGTTATTGCCACTGTCAGTTACCCATTTGGGTTTTCACTTTGTTTTAACCCAATTCCTGCTAATTTTCCCAGCTGCCTGGAGATGTTTTCACCAGCTGTGACCTTGCAATGTGCTCTTTCAGCTTTCAGAGTATCAGTCATCCCATCCGATGGCTGCTCAGGTTTGCCTAAGCACGCAGGCTGATCTGGCGTCCTCTTT